TTCTTTGGTAATTGTGCTCTTTATTTTATAATTGTATTGCTTCTTTGGACAATGTTGAGCAGTGTGCTTAGCTTCTCCACAATATAAATACAACTCTTCTTGGCAACGTCGAGTCTTTTCTTGCTTCGTGAGAGATTTAAAATGTATCATATCAATTTACATTGGTTCTGGCTTTGATGAATACGTTTCAAAAAACTTGGGAGTTTCTACCATTACTTGACTTTTTTCTTTTCAACCAAATCTTTTTTCTTGACACCTTTCAAATAAACGATTGTCGCATACAATAGCTTGAGTAATAAATTATTCTAAAGATTCTACTTTCGACATTATAAATAACAAATCTTTGATGCTATCCTTCAACCCATATCAAAATTGGTTGATAAGTGCTTTGTTGTTCCAGTCCACGTCGCAAGCAAGGTTTTGGAATTCGGCAGCATATATAGTAGCTAATTATGATCCTTGCTGTAAGGATAAAAGCTTGGTCTCTGCTACTCGTTCTTGATGACTTTTTTCGAATGTGGCCGTAAACACTTCTAAGAATGAATTCAAATCATAAAGGAGTCGTGAATCTTTTTCCATCAAAGGTGCAAATCAAGAGAGAGCACTTCATGATAGTAGTGTACCTATGAATCCGACTTAGGTAAATCCATCAAGATATTGGAAAGGGTTCAACCTTAGATAGAACTTGACTTGTTGCAAAAATCTTCAAAATTTTGATCTTGTTCCATCAACATTCTCATGCATACTAATCTTTGTCCCTATCATACTTGTAGAAGCAAAACTCCCTGGTTTTGGTTGTCACGTTGATCTACTTGCTTCTTTCAACTGTACAACTTTTTGCCGCAGATTTTGAACTTCTTCTATAGGCGTAGGCATAGTACTTCCATGATTCATATTGAAAATACATGAGATTTCTACTCTTAGAGTGTTGACAAGCTCATAAAGATCTGCCATAGTTGCAAATCTATTCTCACTTCCATTGAGAGTAGCATCCATAATCTTTCCTTCCATAGACAACTCAAACGATTTTAAAAGTTAAATTAGAAGAAGATAATCCGCAACCTCTAAAAACAAATCCTACAAAGAGGGATAATCCACTCTCTTTAAGAAAAAGATATCTATTAAAAAATAAGATTTTTTGTTTAAAGTTGGGTAGTTCACAACTTTCAAAACACAACAATAGAAGTAGAATGATCTACTCACTTCTAAAATAAGACACAAATAATATGTTAGTGTTCTTGTCAAACTATCAAGGACATGAATCTCAAAGAAAGAGAATCCTCAATACACTCTTCTATCACTCAAGAGAACTAAAAAGTCACTCAAAAGGTCATGTAATATTAACTGGAATAGCTATTGCTAAAAACAAGACGACTAGAAAGTCTTGAAACAAGACTAAGACTAGAAAGGTGTTGACAAGAGTGAAGAAGGCTTCACTCTTGCCTCCATATATACTATCTAACTAAGAGCCACATGGCAATGTCTTATAGGACCTCTAACATATGTTGACTTTGCTAGCCACATGTCTTATCTTGCAAGGCAAGTTATCTTTGTATGTGCCATATAGTTGGCTTGTTCCACAAGCTACTATACAAAGATAACTTATTCCACAAGCTACCAATACATGGTTAGCTTTTTGGCCAAGTTTCTAACCTACAAATACATATAAAGTCAAAACCACGTCTATGAAGCTTCGAAGAAGCTTCTCTAAAAGACTTTATGAAATTATTCTATATTTACCTACTTCTACTTAATCATATAAGTAATTATTGAGATAAGTACATATGTCCGTGATAATATTAATAATATTAAAAAAAAATACATCATAAATAATTTTAATGTATAAAAGATAATTATAAAATCTACTCATTAGATACAAGACACTTGTATTAAAAGAATTAGTATTAATTATAACATGTTATTGTATAACTTTAATGGATATGTAGTTTTTGATTTACTAAAATAAATTCTTATAGATGTATACTAATAAATTATAAAGAAACATAAACTACAAATTTATAATCTTTTCTTATTTTAAATAATTTATTCTAAATAAAAAAATCAAATAAAAAGACTTTGTTTTATTTTTATACATATATATATAAAGAGAGAGAGAGAGAGAGAGAGAATAGTAATAATAGACTATTATAAGTGATTTTATAATAAACACTTTACTATTTATTTTATTATTTAAAAGCATTAATATTCAAGTTAGTATAACAAAAATATTAACCAATAGGAGAATAAAAAATTGATCTCTTAATACTAGAGTTTAGCAACTAAGAATAAAGTCTTAATTACACAAAGAGGGTTACAATAAGAATGTTGTGTTCGACAAGGCAAAACCACTACTAAAGAATTTTGGATATGAGAGAGTTATACTATCAAATCTATTTTATTCTATATAAATATAGAATGCAACATCACTTATTTTAAAGCAATTATTGTCTCACTTATAATATAAAAAATAAAGTTATTATACGACAATGACAAAATTCTTGGACTGAACATTCTCTCCTTCTTTCTTAGTTAATAAGCGTTCTAATGGTTCTTCTATTGACTTCAACATAATATATATATATATATATATATATATATATATACATCTATATAAAAAAAAACAAGAATTATAAAAATATTAAGAACTATAGATACAAAATTGCATAATTTTTTCATAAAAGCCACTTTACTTTGAATATAAGTCAAGGTGCTACGACTAACAATTATATACATAATCATTTAACATTAGATATAGTTAAAGTGGTTAGATATACAAAAATAAGAGGTTCATACCTACAAGCTCTTCTTTAAATTATAAATTGTGAAGTCTATTGCTCTCATATTGAATTCTACAGTAACTTTGCTGCCATATGTTAATGTTATACATTATAATGAACAAATTTTATCAACAAAGCTAAGGCCTTTAATATATCTTTATAAATAAATAGTGAATAATATTATGAAGTACTTGTAAACAAGAGACATATAATAGAGAATAATAATAAAATTACTATATCTTAGTTTTTTGATATTTCCAAGTTTTCTAACACATTCAACTTTTGGTACTTGATCATATGCTAAAATAAAGTCTATATTCTATGTTTTGAGGGCCCTCTTTCAATCACCATCTACTTTGTCATTAAAATCTATACTACAAATAAAATTTGAAATAAAATTAATAATTCAAAAAACTAAAACTTAAATTTATATGTATTAAAAATCTCATTCAAATTTTTACATATAAAAAATAAATTAAATTTTTAACTCAAAAATTCCAAGTTTAATCCAATAACCTATTCATGTTATATGTCTATATTAAGACCAACTTACTAAAACACAATCAACATGCTATGATGTGCATATGAATAGAAACACAATCAGTTTATATGTTCTAGACTAGCTTCTATATAAAAAAATGAATCCAAAGAAGTGCCAATATTATAAATTATTAAAAAGAGAGAATAAAAGAAGGTATAAACATCATAGTTTTTGTAGAAAACACAACCATCACTATGATTTATATGAAGATAGAAATATATAAGGCCTAATGCTATAATCTTTCATATAAAGATTATATCCAGTTCCATATTGCAAGTCTAAGATAACATTATTTTTATAGATTAGTTTGGTGTACATTTTTAGATATGGATCTTGAAGGCACTCTATATAATATGCTTTTTATGCCAATGGTCAATAAGAGTAAGAATAAAAGAAATCTTATGTGATTCTATTTCACTTTGGTCTAAGTAAAAATTGGCTACAACTATATTAGAAGCCATGTGCAAAGATAATGTTTAGTACATGAAATACAAAGATAAAGTCTCTATGCAATATATGTTTTTAATATAGATACATTACATGATACCAAGATATACAAGAATCTCTTTAAGACAAGCATACATACACTTGCCATAAATTAATCCCTTGCAAGTCTTCATTCTATTAACAACAACAACATCCAACAACACAAACATTATAACTAGTTGATTTGGCTCATCATCCAACTCATAAATCATCAAAATAGGGCATAAGTCTTAGTTTAGAAGTTATACTTTCAACAAGTTATATTGGTGCACAATTATGAATATTAAACTAATATCCTCAACCTTACAATACTAATTCTTACTCTCTTTCCAACCTACTACAATGATCCTTCAATCTTCTGAAATCAATGCCCCCTACTTCACTAGAGAAACAAAAATTAACACCAAAACTTGAGTATTGACAAGAAATCCACTAACATAAGAAATAACAAAGGAGGAGAACCAAAGTTACAATTGAAAGGGGTGAGATTCTGCCATATTTATGTAGACATTCAGATAATACAAAACAAAAATGACAATATATAGAGTTGATTGGAGAGATGTTGTGAACACTACATGCACATCAAACCACTCACTATTTGGTTGAGTAATTATTCTACTAGTGGAAGACACTCTAAATCAGGAACACTGCTGAGCACAATCACCAGTATGTTGCTATTATACCAATCAAAATGATCAACACAATAACAAGCAGCCAAACAAAAGTGTTGGCAAAAATGACCCCACTCCTCCTCCAACCACACTTTCAAGCCTAAAACTCTGCATCCTAAGTTACAAGACAGTCTTTTACACCCCTACTCACCATGATCACCACAACCTAAGATGAGTGTTAAGAGTTCGATGCAAACAAGGAAAGTTGAAAATTTTCAGCAATATATTGAATGAGAAAGAGGCTAAACTTGCCCCAGCTGCAACACAAAAGCATCTTAGTCTTGCTCAGAGACTATTTTTAGCATAATCCACAACACCAAGAGTTTTCTTGACAACATTTTTATTTAGACTCTGCCACTATTTTCGACCTTCTATTTTTCTCTGCTTCTCATATACACAAACACAATAGAAAACTTCATACTATTGGTAAACAAAAACATTTGCATCCAATGATAATAAACACAGTTCCATGCTGAACATCTCAGGAAACCTCATACGATCCCACTCGATCAACCACTGATCCAATTTAGAGAAGACTTTCAAATGGATCTTTCCATGTTCTCATCTCAGATTTGCTTAATTTGGACACATCCAGGTGAGTGATGTGCACACAACAACATGGGGCTGCATCACCTTTTCCCATTCCCATTTGTATCTTGTTTGTTTCATTAACTCAAGATAAGTGCCTATAATACATCCTTCTGCCATACAAATATCATGCTTTCAAAACACCCAACTTACGCCACTGCTTGTGATACTCTATCCATACTATCAGTTTCATTGTTTCCCAACAGAAGCAACACTTCGTGACCGTTAACCCTAACAAAACCACCACGATGACCACCCGGCGGATAACACCATGTGCAGAGCGGGGCGTAGGTTTCGAGGTCCACCAGCCGCGTGGTTTGAAATGTAGGTGCCACCGACCTCGCACTCTTCGGCCGACACAATGCACCGCAGGTCAGCTCACTTGTTGACAGTCTGGCCCTGGACCCAGGCGGTCTGGAACGTGAAGTCGTAGAGCATGTAGACGCCGTTGGGAGTTTCGGGCACCCTCGACGAGAATCCCACGTACGAGAACTCCTTCACCTCCTTCGCCAGATCGAGGCCCACATACTTGATGGCGAGCTGCCGGTTCGCTAGCTTGGGTGTCTGAGAATCCTTCACTACGTGGGTGTACACCATGATGATCTTCTTCAATGCGTCGTACTCAATCCACACGCCGATCTGCACGGCCATCGGGTTAGCAAATTCTACGACTGGTCTGAATCGAAACCCTAGTGCAACTGAGGTGCTGAGAAGTGGACATTCAAGGAGAGGATCAGGTGTGCTGCTGTGATCCCATTCGCACCTTCTTATCGATGACGGTGGCGGGGTCGCCCAAGTACTTGGTCTTCACCGACTTCACGCTGTTGATGTCGAGGCCGATGTGGGGAATCTGGGGGTCGAAGCCGTCGTTTTCGACGCGAGAGATGTCCAGCTCCACGGCCACGGTCTTGGTATTTTTTCCGTTCAGCGACGACCCGGTCTTCAAGTCGACGGGGAACAATCCGAAGGACTCCGCCCCAGTTCCGGCCACCGACAGCGATGGTGTGAGGGCGAACGCAATCCCGCCCCCGCTGAAGAGCTCCCGCACGGTGAACTCGGCGTCTCTGTTGAAGTTTACGGTGAAGAAGGCCTTGAAGGAAGCGACGAACTTGGAGTTTCGTTTCCAGAGCTGCACAGGGGTCTTGTGTTGGTAGCGGGCGGAGATAACGGTATCGTCGTAGGACAAGATCAGTGCTGGAGGATTGAACCCCACTCCAGGGGTGCAGATGTTGTTGGGGTCGGCTGCAACTTTTGGGTCGATACTACAGACGAACTTGTTGTTGAAAGGCGGGAGGGAGATTTTCACAGCCGGCGGTGGAGTCTCCGCAGCAAGAGAAACTTGGAGAAGGACGCACAATGCGAGACAGATCTGCAAGATGGCACCCACACGAGCCATGGCGGCTTCCTATCGAGTCCTCGCACAACAACCCACCTGCGAAATTCCTGGACTGCGCAGTTCTCTGTTCTTCTTCGACCTGGCAAAATCAGGATATGATTCGATGACTAGGCGGTTATGGTCACCTCAACGGGCAAGGGTTTAAATACTAATCTGATGTTGACCTGTTACCAGTTTGACCGGAACGGCGATGGCTTCAAAGTCAGCAATCGCTGAGCTGCATCCCGATGCTGACGCTCGAATGGACCCTCTTTGTCAACTCCCTGATGTTTCTGAGGATATATAATGCCTGTTTAAGTCTTAAATGTGCAAATTTATTTTATTTTATATTTTTTTTGATATAGAATGTTTCACTTCCTATGGAGGAGATGCCTCACCCTCTATGGATATTGTAACACAGTGGTAGCAGTGTGGCATGTTTGTTTTGTGCTCCACTGATGTCTTTCTTTTTATTGGGGTGGAGAGTTTTGTTTTGTGCTAAATAAGTATTGGCAATCTGGTCCTGATTTGCACCAACCTTAGAGCTCAGACTGAGGAAGATTAGATGGATTGTGGTATGTGTGTAGTATGCCTATTTGTTGATACTGTTTAGCTTCAAATTGCACAACTTAAATTTGTGTCGAGGCAAGATTTGTTTTTAAATACTGTCCTCAATTTTTACATACTGAGTTATTTTGTGCCTTCTTTTTTTGCACAGCAAAAAGATACTCAGAAAGTTTATGTAGAATATGATAAGTGTTATGATGAAACATGTGATACAAGTTTAATGCAAGCTTTTAGTTCCATTTAGTTATGTCAACTTTGGAAAACAACAATGAAAATTTGATTTTTAAAATATTTTTGGCCTCAAGGAAGGGTGTCACTAATCCAATCAAATACAATTCCTTTATCATTCTTTGTTATGTTTTTGAGAATTTAATGTTGTGTTTATAAATAGATTTACACTTTCGGTCTTAAGATCAATAACGGGATACATTTGATTATTTTTTTTTCTATGCATTTAGAATTATAGACAAATACATTTGCTAATTTTCTTTCTTCAAACTGTTTTGAATATATGTATTCCAAACATATATTTAAATCTATCATGCATACTAGAAATAAGCTTATTTACTTTGAACAAACATATTATAACGCTTTAATTACTTGATGTATATTGGATTGAAATTAGATTCTTTCTATCAATATATGGAAATTCAATCACTTCAAAATAAGAAGTAATGTCTCTAGTACCTATGTTTATAAATGATTATGGACATTAAGATATCATTAAATCTTTTCTTTATGGCAGATTTAGAGAATATATTTGATGACATTTTAATCCACAATCTCCAATTAACTTTGCAATTTACTCTTATTTCTTTATTTCCCACTCCTTATACTTCACATATATCTTTAAAAGACAAAGATGAAATTATAATATTTCACATCTCTCATATTACATCCCTTATTTGTGATTCAAATCCAACTCCCACTAAAACACATTCTTCTTGTAAAAACTTGCAATTTCTATACATTCACAATTAAAAAAAAAAAATCAAATTTTTAGTTTAAATAGGTGAGCTTGGCAAAGAAGTAGCATAATAAAATAAAATAAAAAATTATAAAAAAATGGCAAGAAATTCAAAATATCATAGCCATATAAAAATTTTAAAAATATAAATAGATCTTTTGAAACAAAAATATCAAGACTACTTGTCTTTTTGACAAATTAGACTATCATAGGTTTAGACCTTTTTCTATTAGTGAATAAGTCAACTCTATTGCTTATTGATTATATCTACTAAAGTCTACAAAGATCCATCATGTATTTCACATATCTCTTTTAAGCCTTATAAGATAGTGAATATTTAAAAAAGAAGACAAATGCCACCTCGTCATATAAAAGTAGTTAATAATCAAGTATTCAAGGAGGAAGAAATCTTAGATTCAAGGCAGCACCAAAATAGGTTGAAATATCTTATTTATTGGCATGGATATGATACTAGTGAATGCACATAGGAGCTAGCAAAGAAACTTGCAAATGAAATAAAGAGAGTTGAAGCTTTTCATCAATGACATCCATCAAAATCAAGATGAAGAATAGGAAATCTTTTCTATAAAAGAAACCGGATCAAAAAAAGATAACACTCTATCTTCTATATTTTTTTATAACTTTTGTGTATTTGTGATGCTAAAAAAATGGAGAACCAATAACCAACAAATTCAACTCGAGAGCTTTCATTTGCTAACTTATCAAAACGATGTAATCAAAATGAAGATTCTTAAGAATAACAAGTCTTTCTTCAAATAGATGACAAGATACAATGTATTTGGTATCACAACCTTAGAAAAAATTCTCGATGTTTGGTGATTTTATTAAAGATAGGAACAGTTCTAAATGGTATTTCAAATATTTTATTTGAAGTTATGAAGGCATCAACAATGATCAAATAATATGGTGGTCTTCTTTTTTTAGTATGAGATACTATGAATGGCTGAGAGAACATATCAACTATCTTCGAAGAGAACAAAGATAAAAGTATGTAGCAAATATAATTTGCCGCATTTTCGATTTTATCAAAACATGATGATTGGTCTTCATAGAACTCGTACCTAGAAGAAGGGGATAATATCACAGATATATATACATATTCTAATAAATACCTATATGATTAGGTAGGAATAAATAAAAGTAGATTAATTTCATAATATCTTTTAGAGAAGCTTCTTAGAAGCTTTATAGATGTTGCTTTTACTTTATATATATTTTTAATTGATTGATAGGTTAGAAACTTGGTCAATAAGTTAACCACGTATTGGTAGCTTGTAGAATATGCTAACTATGTAGCACACATATAGAAAATTTGCCTTGCAAGTTAAAATAAATGTCTTGCAAAGTCAACACGTTTTGGAGGTCGTATAGGATATTGCTACATAGCTCTTAGTTAAGAGTATGTATGGATGCAAGATTGAAGCCTTCTTCACTCTTGTTAACATCTTTTTAGTCCTTAGTCTTGTTTTAAAACTTTTTAGTCTTCTTGTTTTTGATAATAATCATTCTAGTTTAATATTATATCATCATTGAGTGACTTTTTAGTTCATTTTAGTAATACAAGAGTGAATTGAGGACTTTCTTTCTTCAAGATTCATGTCCTTGAGATAATGACACTTTATAAGTTTTTGAAATCTTATTTATTTAGGCCAAAGCTTATGCAAAATTATACAATATATTTTAAACGTCTATTTGAGTAAGAAAAAACTTATCATTATTAAGAAGATTTGTGCAACTCAAAGAATTTCATACGAAGCTAAGGCACTTTTTGGACCAATACCAATTACCACCACTACTACTTGTTGTAGTTGATGATCAATAAAAGTATGAAGTAGACACCATTTTGGAGCATTACTATCTTTACTATGGCAATGGATGTCTACAATTTCAACAAAAAGTCTTTTGGAAAGGTTATCCCATCCATGATGTAATATAGGAGCATGTACAAAATCTAACCGATTGCCAAGAAATAATTCGGAAATATTATTGGAAGCAAAATAAGGACATTCTATATTAGTGAAGGAGGATTAACTATAACAAGGCACAGACAAAATATTTGTATCATTGATGCATAAGTGTCAAGGACAAGAACTCGATGAAAAAACAATTCAAACAAGTGAGCATTCACTCAAAGAGAGGTAATAAAATATATATAAACAAGTATATATATTGAAAGAGAAACTGGAATGGCTATTGCCAAAAGACAAGAAAACTAGAGATCCTTGAAACAAACTAGAAGCAAAAAAGGAGTTGACAAGAGTGAAGAAGCCTTCACTTTTGTCTCTATATATACTATCTAACTAAGAGCTACGTGGCGACATTCTATAGGACCTTCAATATGTGTTGACTTTGTAGGGCACATGCCTTGACTTACAAGGCAAGTTTTTCTATGTGTGGGCCATATAGTTAGCTTGATCTTTAAGCTAACAACATGTGTGGCACATGGCCAACTTGTTGACCACGTTTCTAATCCAAAAAGTCAATTAAAGACACTTATGAAGTTAAAGCAGCATCTAGGAAGTTTCTAGGAAGCTTCTATATTAAATATTATAGAATTAACTTACTTTTACCTACTTTTATTTACTTCTACCTATTTCTATATGTAATTATTAGCTTACATGATTATGGCCGTGACATTACCTCCCTTTCTAGGGACGAGTTCCACGAGGAGCGGTCATCATATGTTGAGAAAATCTATGATGCGATGAATTGTATTCGCCACATACTCTGATCTCTGTTCTCTTCGAAGATGATTGATAGGGCCTCTCAACCATCGATAGTGTTCCATACCAGGTCGGGAAGACCACCCAGTTATTTGATCAATGTTGAGGCCTTCGTAACTTCCTTCGAATATGATATTTGGAACACCATCAGGAGTTGTTCCTACCTCTAGCAAAATCACCAAACATCGCGAGTCCCTTCCCAAATCGTGATACCAAACGCGTTGTATCTCACCATCTATTCGAGGAAGAACATGTCGTTCTTGAAGATCTTCATCTCGATTGCGTCGTCTTGAAGGTTGTGACAATCGTAATGTCTCATTCGGCAGGTCAGCAAATGAAGGTTTTTGAGTTAAATCCGTTGGTTGTTGGTTCTCCAACTCCTGAGGGCCACTACTACAACGAAGCTACCAACAAGAATTGAAAGTAGAATGTTATCTTGCCTAGATGTTGTTTCTTTTATAAAGAAGATTTTCATCCTGATTTTCATGGATGTCGTCGATGAAAAGCCTCCACCGCCTTTGCTGTATTTACAAGAATCTTCATTGGCTCCCATGTGCGTTCACTAATATCATATCCGTGCCAATGGACAAGATATTCTATTTTATTTCCACGCCGCCATGAATCTAAGACTTCTTCTACTTCAAAATCTTCATTATTGTCCACTTCTATAAGAGGAGGAGGAGCTTGTCGTCTTCTTGGTATGTCCACTGTCTTGTATGGTTCAAAAAGAGACACGTGGAATACTGGATGGATTTTTATTGTCTTTGGTAGATGTAAACGATATGCAACTGGATTGATTTGTACAGAAATAGAAAATGGTCCCAGCCTTCGATAGTCCAACTAGTCGCAAGGACGAGTGGTCTTGATATTACGATGAAGTAGCCATACCTTATCACCCACATTGAGTTGGGATTGCTCCTTACGATATACATCTGTGTTTATTTTTTGTCGTTCTTGAACTTTCTTCAATTGCGTCTTCATTATTGCATGTAACTCTGACAACCGA